GTTTTTTCGATCCCTGATGCTTTCCGGGTGAACAAGGATTTTAGAATTAAGTTGTCTCATTTGTTTGTACCATTGGACAGCATTCCAAGGTTGGCTGCTAAAGCGCCGCTAGCATTACTTTTGCGACCTTGGGCGACGAGCTTACTGGGTTGGCTTCTGCGGCTTTCGTTCTGTTTCTGTATTTGTAATCTGCACTGCAGTTGAGCGCTAACTTTGCACACGTCATCGAGTATTTTGCTTGGTATAATGCAAGATGCTCGGGCATTTGTGTGTCTTAACTAACCTTCTATTGAGCTGTTTAGTTTCACCTTGTAGTGGCATCTATGTTAAGAGCGACTACAGGTTCCTCTCACCGTCCCAGTTACGCAGTCAAACTGAGCCCCCGAAAGTTCTGTTTCGCCGTTTTAATTCCACTGATGATTCTTACTTATTTATTGCATGCGTAAACAAAATTTTTCAACTTGATTCTAATTCGTTGTCCCTTTTGAATGAGCGAACAATTGGTCCTAGAAACTGCTCAATTTTTTGCTTCATACCTGGGAACTCTTGCATTCCTTGCAACCAGTATCCAAACAGGCCGTTGCCTTCTGGATACCGTTCAAACGATTGTGGCCCTCGCCTAACTAACGCGTTCGTGAAGTCCTGGTCGACGTCGAATTTTGAGTATGTAGAACCCTCGCCTGAGTTGACCTCCGCAGATGACGTTTATGCTGATTTGGGTCTGATGAACAATGATTTAATCCCCGTTGAGGACGCCTTGTATGTGTGTTATAATATTTTTCATGGATTTTGTGAAAGACTTCAACTTACAAATATATCAGTTGTCAAACCATGGACGCGGCACTCTCCTTCGATGGATTCATATCCTAAAAGGTCATCAAATATTCCAATCCCTGTTGTGAACTGGAATGCCTCTCTGAGCTCTACTCTCACGGTTGATAGTAGCTACATTTACGTTGGACTTGAGCAGGATCAGTTTCAGGATGCAACATTGGTTGATCTTGATCCAATATCGATCAGACTTCGTAATTTTGATTATGCTAGCAAGGAGCCAAGTCTTAAGAGTTCACTGAGGTTAAGAGAAATCCATTTTCGAATAAAATATAAATTTTCCTTCCAATACACACTTGAACATGATCAAAGTGTGTTATCCCACCATGTTGTACCTCATATATACTTTGTGGCACAGCTGCCAGTTGCTGCTGAAACGGGACTGCTTGAAACCAGGATCGTGCGTATTTGTTCGGGTGATAAGTACCTATATTCGTATGCTGATTTAGAGCTTTTCTGTGATGGATGCTTACTTCACAGTCGAGGCCGAACACAAATGGTATGTAACAGTTGCATCGAATCATCTATCTTTTCCAATAAAAAAACTATAATGCGCTTAGTTGGTCACTTCCCTTAGTTTTATTCATATATTGCCATTCTGGGGCGCTTTTTATAAAGGTAACTCGTCAAGCATTTCTGTACTGGTTCTTGGCTTAATACTAGCATTTTCGTTCTGGAAGTGACTAATTATTTGTTCCCAGCTGTAGACATTTGTGAAACCATAATTTTCTTAAGTATCTACCTTTACTTAAACCTTATTTTTTCGTAATTTAAGCATGTATTTAAATGTACAATTATTGTGCCTCAATAATCGAGGCAGCAATGTGGGGCTATAAAATATAAGGTTTTGCTTTGATGCCTTATGCAGCGTTAGTGAGGCTGAGAAATGTTAATGGTATAGGTAGCCGATTAACCAGTCGTTTTTTGGTCAACTTCATCCTCGTTATTGACAAATCATTCCCAGTCTGTTGTATAGCACGTTATTGTAGTATAGTATCCCACTGATGAATGAGTTTCGCACATGGATGCATGAAGATGTTCCTCTGAGGTTTACTTTTTCATTCCATATCGTTGCCACCTGGCGTTTGCGACAACTGAATTGTCCGCGAATTCATTGCAGAATGGCATGATTAATGGGTTTATTGCATCACGAAGACTTCATTGATGTCAATTTCCCTGTTTTATTATCTTTTCCAAAAAAATTATCTTGAATCGCTTAAGTTATTAGTTGGCTGCAGAATCGGAAGTCTATTCTCATTCGTTACTCAAGTAAAAGATTTTGAATGGCACTGGTGATCTACAGCTTGTCGTTTTAAGGTTCTCCAAATGGGTACACATTTAAAGCGTTCAGAGTAAATCTTGACAAAACTAATCTGATTCCAGTACTAACGATCTGATTAATACCGTAGTTGTTACTCTGAGTTAGTAGTTGTAAACGACCCTTCATGTGCACAGGAATGTTTGTTCTACCTTAATGACTAATGGTGAAATTTCAAGGCCTTCATAGTCATTTTTTTAAATGAATTTATAGGCGTAGCCCAGCACACAAAAAAATATCAAATAATTCTATGTGAGAATTAAGCAACACTGGAGCACTCCTAGTGTTCTAAGTAGAATGGAGCCCTCCCCGGCCCTGGGGTGTTCAATCTGTAAAAACTCAGTCACCACAATACCCATGCCCTCGTGAAAGTGTTAGTGTTCTTTAAACCAATCAGGAGTCTGCCTTGCTGTCATTGGTTGGAGTGGGATGATGCACACGCGTTCTCACGCATGCGAGAGCCTGGGGTACCCTCCATTTGTTTGTCTGCACGTGTGCGGTTTCGCGTTGTACCTGTGTGCCTATGTTTCACGGTGCGCCTAATGTCCCTTCTCCCTCCCTCCCCCCAGCACCACGATCCCTACGTGAAATCCAGGCTTTTGTGTACAAATGCATTCGCTTGCTATTCATCTAGCATCGGGAGTTTAATTTGGCACCATCTCAGTTACGTTCGACTTACTGGCGCCATGCCAATTAGTGTGGCTTCAGTTTCACAAATCACAATGATGTAGCATTTTTATTGTCTTTGCCTTTGCTAAAGCTTACTTGTGCATGCCGTAGGCAAAATGGTGTCAAGTGTAAATTCGTTAGGTGTCATCATGTAATGATATTTATTGAAAAATTGCCTTTATTGATGCATCCACTTTCTCATTCTCTCATATAAAACGAATTTAAGTTTATGTTTGGTGAATGTGCGCTAACATCTCATGCCAACTACCACCGTCTTTTCTGAAAACATAAAAGCAGTAGTGTAATGCGTTCCTTAATCCTATTTCTTACGGTTTTGGTGCCACATTTGAATGGGGCTGTAACGAGTGCACGTTCTCGTCATAATTTTATTATAACATTTGAAATAAAAGTTGTCCCAGTGTTTTTTACTCTCGCCATTCTATTATTGAATCCCAAGTAAAGTATGGATGTTTAATTACAGTACAGAAGATAATTACAAAAATGATCATAGCCACTCTGGATTAACGAAGTAGACCCTATCTCTCGAGAGAGCGGAGCTTAAGTGTAGGCCCCATAGAGGCGCCATGAGGGAAGAAGGCGTAAAGAATTGACCCACCTAAATCTGATGCACGACCAGCACGCACAATCACAAAGGCGCGCACATTCACTTGACAATCGTTTGCCAATCAAGTGGAGAATGGTGGAGTGCGTGCTTTGGTTTAGGCGCTATCTGTCGGCGCATTGATACCCAGCTTGCCGCCTCTTTATCCGTGTATGCATGCACCTGCTACATGCGCACTGAAGCCTTCAGCCACCTGCAGCCCCTGACTGTTGCAACTGTGCCTCAGACGCGCCTGTCGCGGACTGTCTTCTTTGGGGTTGTGTCCTCTCCCAAGACTCTTCTCAAAAGGGCACTTCTCTTGAAGACGCTTTCCTTTACCTGGTCATTACGACTCAGGTACAATAATGGTCAGCGTGATCGTACAGTCCAACAAATGGCGGCTGTGTTGTCTCTGTAGCTTGAGCCACGCTGCAGTTAGAATCACTGTTTCGCTAAGCTTATACCTTCTCAATTGGTTGTTGAGTCTATTTTCTTTGCTATTAATCGAGTAATGGGATGTGACTAAGCTAAAACACATAATCATCACTTCTTGTCGAATCACTTTTCACGACAATAATATAGAAGGTTCTCCTCTTGCAGAATATGTATGGTTCCTCAAGTGTGTGTAGAGGATGGGTGCGTTTTCGCGCCTACTCTTCGAGTTACCTATTTCATTGGGGAGAAAAAAAGAAATCTCCAATGTATTTTGCACTAGAAGGTTTAAAGAAGGGTCGTCAATTTTATTACAAATCAAAGAATGTTCGATGCGTAAACCGCTCACCTACAATCCTTTGGATAAGAAATGAGTCGAATCGGCTACAGTCGGGACTGTAAATTTGCTGCACAAACCGAATATTCCACTTAGTTAAATGGTATTGCTTATGGCGTTACAATTTCTCTAAGCAGATCGAAAAAAAACATGCTAGCAGCACTATTTGAACCCATGTCTCAGGTCACACAGCGGTGGTATCAAATGTCGTGTTTAGTCAGCCTTCTAAGTGCGCCCTGTTCTCGCAGATTATAATACCCCAACTCCAGAAATGTTCCCCAAATTATCCTTTCCAGCGGGAATCGGCTCTTGCGTTGTGTTGAAATGTTAGCATTGTAATGTGGGTCTTATTTTACAGGTTGAATCGCAGGGCATAATTAAGAACCACTGATTTAGGCTTTAAGCGGCATGCATTACCGATAGATCAGTAGTTGTACATTGAGTTGTTCAAAATGCTCTGATGAACGTGTTCTAACAGCTCCCAATTTTTTGCGACACAAACTTTACTTTGGAGCTTGAGGTGGTCTTGATACTTTTTAGTACAAATTTCTCTGCACCATTCTTCTAAACGTCTCGGTAAATACGATGTGTTCGGGCAATTTGTGTTGAAAATGCACTTTAACTCTAAGGCTCGTGTGGACGTCTTTTTTGCCGCGAACACCCACATTATGATCGTTGTCTCATATTTTCTCCGTTCCTGCTCGCATGGACCTTCATGTACCACGACAAGTAGACTAATCGGAATAGTTTGTTAATTGTCAAGGCTGACCATACTATCATTGTTGCCCTTACAGAAATTTGATGTACTTAATATGGCAACCAGAGGCACAGTAGGAACAGAAATCGCAATGCCACGACTCAGGCGATTGACCAACTCCAAGGTTGTTCCAGAGTGGCGCCGGTCCATTTCATTTTCGAACGACTTCAATAACGTGCTACTAGTTGCTTTCTCATCCCAATTAGCTTCTGCGAGGGACTTCAGTTTGAACCGTGGCACAGCCATCGTCTTCTACACCCTGGCTGAGGTGAGCTATCCTGCTTCTCCTTTATCCTTGCTTGGAGTAATTCAGATCTTCCCTTCCCCTTCGAATCTGTCTCAGTTGACTCAAATACCGTCTATTTTCTTGTAAAATGGCTCTCTGTGCCAGTCGTGAATTCTGTTAAAATTGGCATGCAGAATTTGGTGGTCTAGGCTTTTGCATCTGTGCCTTGAAGCTGAGAGGCAATTTTCGCAGCAAGTATGCATCTGTCACAAGCAGATATTATAAAATTGAATCATGACATCACAATGCTATTTTTTTGCTTTAATGTTAATCGTAGACTAGCTACATGCTGATGAAATTAATAAGTTAGTTAGTTGGTTTTATTTTTCTGGCTTTAGTTATCTAGCATGCTAGACGCCTAACTTCTTTTCGCAGCCTGCTCATGGCTCACCTTTAGTACCTCCTCCCTAGTGAATCACGTAAGACCAGGTTTTTAGCATTCCCCAATGCCTGAACGGCGAAGTGACTTGTTTTACAACTTAGTCAATTGAGGGCCTCGTATCACCGACGCGTCCTTACAGCTGCCTCTAATGCTGCGGATTTTGGAACATTTTCATTTAAAAATCAGGGTAGCTCCAAATACGACAGATGCATTTAAAGGTACTCATACATATGTCTATTGACTTGGTTTATTTCATTAGGCAAGTGAGTTTAACTGTTCTCCAAGAGTACGCATCTTTTGGCCTCACTAACTGACTTACCCTGTTGTTTTGTTTCGTCTGCTACGTCCATATTTCTTCAATGTGACATAAACATTTAGCGATATATGAACTAATTGCATAAACATATTCACACTTGATATTGAAGTTGTTCACATCCCTTGCAGTGATTGCGCCCTTCATCAACAGGTAATCGTAACTTACTAGGGTGGGTGCACAATCCCAAATGTGCGTCTGTTTCAGTAAAATAAAACGTCTTAGACCAATCGTTGCATTCACAGTTGGTAGATTTCCTACCACTTCGCGTGGTTCGTCGTCCGCTGCTTAAGTGTCTCCTGTACATCAAAGCGCTACCCCCAATTATAAGATCAGTCCGCTGTGTGTGTTCTACTGTCATCGAGGAAATTTGTTTGATGCAAACGCAAACCTAAGAATTATCAATTGAGGAGATGTTTAGCCGAGCTCACCTGTTTCTCATCCCCTGTCTGTAGATCGACGTGTGGTTCGGAATAGTGATCCAGAACTGTCTGAGTGGCAAAACTTTGATGGGTCCCCGTCACTTTCGTTCTTATCCCAAGAAGTGCGAAAAGGATGAGCTGCTGGTACGACATGCCGTTTCACGTTTTATGTGCTGCTTACTTTGATTTGCCCAAACATTTAGAAAGAAAGCCAGCGGGACTCTGTCGAAAGTAAATACTGCGTTCGTATTTTTCAATTCAAACTACTCACACATTTTTCATACTTTATACATAAATGGCTCTTGAAGCGCTTACTTAGTAACAGTCATTAAAGTAGCCACGCCACTTTTTACGCAGCGGTTCAAGGCATGACTACGTAAAGATGGAGATAGATGATGTGCTACTACTGTCATCTTCATGTGCGTGATTCATAATGACAGCCTGAAATGAATGCGTTTAAGTTATCTGATGGATTTGTCCGAAAGCACAAATTTCTCTAGCTGCCGCTGCTGAGATTAAACCACTACTGCCCCTCGAGTCCCATGAACTGGCCCATAAGCGGGTCAATTCTATCGGAGCGTCTGTCCGCCCCTCCGATTCTTGTATTGGACGTTGACGTGACAGGCATTGCCATTACCAGAGTCGCTGACGCCTTCACCGTCCTCGTTTTGACTACGGACGAGGGCGAGTTGCTAAAGGTATGTCCTTGCGGATCCTTTTTCCTCCTTCTTCGGAGCTACCATTTACCCTCTCTCACCCAATGATGGAACTAGTTTTACGATTACTATTAACAATACTTCCTTATGCATTCGTGAAGTACACTTCACTCATGCGTGAATGGTGTATTCAAATAGGTTACGATTTGATTTCGATTCCAAAGCATTACATTACTACTACTTTCGTTACCAGGAATCGCAGGATCGTCCTGAAAAGTTTAAAAGTCGGGTTTATCCATCAGGAAGTAAAAGTTGTTTGGGTTGTAACGTGAAGTCCTTTTGGTGCCATTAAGTTTGAGGCGGGATAATGAAGTTGGGTGGATCAATTCATCCCATCACATTTATAATTTTTTTTCATAATGTTAGTTTGTTTTTCTTCTCGCCTAAAAGTGTTTTTATAATCTGTGAACGGGTAAAAGTTGCTATCCTTCGTGGTTGTAGAACGTGGAAATGGTCCGTTCCGTCTCGTTTGTGAATTAATACCTTGTTTTGCCCTGCCTAGTACGCCGTGGAAGAGGGTGGAGAGGCTCGACTGATTAGCTCCAAACAGCTGACGTCGTGGCGAAGACCCCTTCGAGGTCTCACGTTGGACGACCTGGGGCTTGTGGCCTTTGCTATCTCAGACGAAAAAGTCAGTTATCTCAACAGCTTTATTATTTTTACTGCTCCTCTTCATACATTGTTTCGCCGTCACTTCACTGGCCATTTCGGCAAACAAGATAGAGAAAGCATGATGCATTTTATTGATATCAAAGAATCAAATGCATGTACGACTCTCGGACGTAACAGAATAGATGTGCGAAAAAAATTTTTAAAAATGGTATTAATTATTTTACCGGTTTCCACGGCATTCAACTCAGCAAACAGCAAATCAAATCAACAAACCCACTTAACTTCAATCAAGACTAGTATCATGGCGTTGCCAGTGTCACCGTTTTTCCCAGTCATGCTTACTTGCGAGTTTTGGTAAAGTCCCTACTTCACCGGAATTCGCTTTGTTTACAATCAATTCCAATCCTAGCGACTGTCTTTTCGGTCACTGGCGTGATCATTAGTTGAATCCATCGTCTGGGCTGTAAGTGGGCCTCTAACCACTAGCATAACCACGACTTGCTCTGTAATACACTTAAGGTCTATCGAGTAGAGTTGCAGAACTGCTCGGGGTTGGAGAGTTGTGGGGCCTGTCTGGCGCTGCGCGATCCCCACTGCGGTTGGTGTCTTGCGGAGGGGGTGTGTACTCACAAGGCTGCCTGTGGCACTCCCTGGCTCTCATACCGTACCTCTACATCCAGGTATCCACCCCTCTTCTACTCCTCCTCTCACAATTTTTCATTTGCTGCTAGTTTTACCGATGGGACATCAAAAGCAAGGATATTATGCATTCGTATTAAGATTTTATTTATTAGCGTGGTAAATTAAGTGGATGATGTATAACATAATTTGATGGAAGCTGTTTCACTAAGGCTTCATTGTTGTGCTTTCTCTCATTTTGCTTGTCTATAATCTCTTAAATGTACATAAAACTAATTTTCGTGAAACTCTTCTGAAACTTGCAACGAAATTCGTTACAGCATCACTTAAATGAATCAGTGACTGCATAGCGGAAATTTCAGATGGAAAAGCAGGAAAATTGCAATATAAAATTTTTTGCAACCGAAAATTGCCGGGTCACAGTAATATTGTGGCCAGATGTTTTGTCATGGAAGCCTCGTCCTACATATGATCCGCACTTCTGACGAGATCCATTTATTATTAATTTCACTGCAAAGGCATCGTACGATTCCTCGCCCCCATGCGATCCCCCTATTGTTTGACTTGTTGGTGGATTTTGATAAAGTTGAAATGCTCGAAGAATCACGGGCTATCAGTGCAATTTTACATGCATGGAATCTGCACAAAGTTGTTTTTGAAGTCCTACTTAGCAAGTAGGTTTAATCTTCGATGATATCAAGCATGAAAAACCATTTTTGCATTCTGTATTGGCGAGCTCGTGTTGGAAGCAGAACTTGCTGCATTCAGAGATTGTGCCTTCCTCGTAGTTGTCCCAATATCACCTTGGTGGATCCGCCAGGAGTGGACGTCAATCGGTGGGGAAGCTTGGGGTCAGGATTGCTTGCGCTCACGCTGAGGCCTAGTGATAACCTTTGGATGGCCTTCAAAGAATCCTTCGCCTTGACGACAGCTGGGTGGTGGAGACAGCAGCAGCGCCTTCTCTGCACCTTCCGCTATCTCCATCCTACCGACAGAGGTGAGGAGGTAGACCCATGGCGTCGCAGAGGACTGCTCTATGGGCAAACGGAGGCCACTCTCATCCCCAACTCTAAAGATCTCAACTGTAACCTTCCTGAATCTACTATACTCCCGTCCTTGAGTCATGGCGAACGTAGGTCTTATTCGCTTTTTATATTCTTTGTGCATTACACGGTTCTGTGCTTTTCTCTCATTGCTGTTGCCACATTGGCTAAATTTCTTGCTTTCGTGGTGGAAGGAAAACTAGTTAAAAAGATAATGTTAACCTTAAGTATTGTACATGAAGTACGCTTATCTCTTAATGTGTGTAACTTTTTCATTGTCCATTTGCCTTTAGGAACATGGTTAAGCTTAAGACATCTTCGCTGACAAGTTTAAGCTATGATGATGATGATTATTATTATTATCATCTCTCCTTAATCGCTTCGAAATCCACAACTAAATTTGTGCCTTTTCCAAAATAAAAGTTTTAAATGTAGAAATGGATTATTAAGTGATTTTCGGATGTTTTTAGTCGTCAAATTTTTATGCCCCACTTTGTTGCTGAAGCTTTTCCACCAGTATTGCGTGGCAGCAGTCTTCTTGAACTGTCGCTACTTCTTGGGACTTAAAGATGGGTTGTCTTGGTGACTTTTACAAAAGCTGCCGTTAGGGGACAGATCGTAGGAGCTCAAGGGACACTATCGAGGCCACAGCTCTCCAGCATCAGAGGTGCAGAGCCGATGGCAGATGTGTTGCGCGATTAGGATTTTAGTGTAAACCACTCTCCAAGCGCTTTTCGGTGACGTTCCTTTGTAAATTTTTTGCTTATTCGATTGTTGTAATGATTCCAGCGCTTAAGCAGACATTGGTGTGGTTGGAGATAGCCGAATTTTCGGCAACCTCGAAGGGCTCCACTCACCCTCTAGCGGCTCGGCTGTTCACTGTCTACGATTGTCGACGTTTCACTGAGTGTCAGATCTGCTTGAGTAGTCGCTTTGACTGTGCATGGCATCTCATCGAGAATCGGTGTCTCTCCTCTATCGACTCTCGCAACAGCTATCTCACTCCGCCATCACTGAAACTCTCTGAACCTGCATTCATCTGTGGCAAACCTGTAGGTCGCACTTTTGTGGTCCTCTTACTAATGTTGACTGGGTTGTTTACCATTGCACACCCAAAAACCACCAT